GGTTAGGAAACTTCATCATGAGACTTGAGATAGACTGGTCTGGAAAGTTTCCTCAGTTTCTCCTGAGCTCGAAGTCCCCGGGCTTGGAGTGGGGTGAGGCCCATTGGAGGTAGATGAATCTGAATCACAAGGATGATGGTATTAAGAATTCATACTAATTGCTTTTGGTTATATTCTTTGAGGCTTTATTAAATACTATACTACTGCTAAGTGCTAAATCTATTACTGACTCAATCTTTACAATCTTTGCATTCACTGATCCTTACAATAAGCTCATAAAAATTACTACTGTAGTATCTATAAGAAAGAGAAAAATGAAAGCTCAGAGAAGTTAACTTGCTTAGGGTTATACATTAAATGCTGGAACCAGGACCTGAACCCAGATCTGTCTGATTCCAAAACTTGTGCTCCTCTTTGTACACTGTCTGAATGGAAAAAATTAATGGTTACAGATTACACAGCAAGACAGGAATCCAAACATGGGAGAGGAAAAAAATAGTGCATACAAAGATATTCTGTGCATAGTAAAAAACTGAGACCAACTTTGATGCCTCCAAATACCTGATTAAATTATGGCTATGATGGTTAATTTTGTGTATCAGTCTGAAGGGCTCAGATTAAACATCATTTCTGGGTGCACAGGTGATGATGCTTCTAGAGGAGATTAGTGCTTCAGTCAGCAGCCTCAGCAGATTGCCTTCCCCAGTGTGGATGGGTATACTCCAATATGCTGACAGGAGGAATTCTTTTCAGTGCATGCCTGTCTCTTGGAGCTGCAACATCTCACCTTCTCCTGCCTTTGGACTGCGGTTTCAGCCCCTTGGTACTTAGGCCTTTGGGCTCAGACTGTATTACACCAATGAATTTCTCCTGAGTCTCCAGCTTTCAGATGACTGACAGATCATGGGACTTCACAGCCTTCATAACTGCATGAACCAATTCCTCACAATAAGTAAATCTTTTTTATATTTAAACCTAGAAATATATTTACACCCGATTGATTCTGTTTTTCTGAAACATCCTAATATAATGACACATTCTTACACTAGCATACAATACAAACGTTTAAAAAGATTAAGGGAGAATTGTATGCAAAGTTGTTCCAAAAAGATGAAGTAAAATATGTAGGCAGTAGAACAGTACACCTAGAATCCCACATATGTAAAGTATATATACATATATATATAATTACAAAACGATTAGGTTGAGCCAATACAGTGTCAAATTGCTGCTTTTCTGGGTCAGAGTTGAATATTGACAATTATGTGAGTTTTAATATACTATAAATAGTGGTCACTTCCATGGGGTGAAAATTTTTGACAAGTTTCACTTTCAGTTTTATACATTCTTTCAGTGCTTCTCTGTTTTTTGTTGTTCAGATAGGATCTCGCTATGTGGTTTAGGCTAACCTTGATCTCACTCTGTGGCCTTGGCTGGCCTCAAACTTGAGGCAATCCTATTGTCTCAGCCCCTTAAGTGCTGGGATTACAGGCATGTTCTATCATGCCTAATTTCATTCCTTTAATGTTTGAACTTCATTCTTTTAGTAACAACACACCTGCCTTTTATAATAAGGGGGAAAAAGCATTTCGATAAAAAGGTGAAGGTCAAAAGAGAAAACTACATAGAGGTAAGCTGGTTTTCCTTTGATGTGAGAGAAAGCTAAACAAAGAAGAGAAAGGCATTCATTGACATCTCAGTGTGTCATGATGGGCTGGTAGTACATAAGGGTAACTTATTTCCAGCACGCCTCCTGCAGCAGCTCTCAGCTTGTTGGCAAGCACTAGCCCTCTTGGTACACATTCTTGGAGATAACTGGGCAAGTAAGCATTAAGTATCTACCACCTCTTAATCACACTTACCGGCCTTGGGTAAGGAATCTTGTAATGCAGTCCAATTTCAATCCTGGCTGTACACTCATCTATATACTGTTTAATCAGGTCTGTGTCTGTGAGCTATTAAAAGGGGAAAATAAGTGAGGTTTTTATATATTTCTAATGATACATAAAGTATAGGTATATATTTCCTAAAACTTTTTCTGTTCACTAGATAGTAAATTATTGATAATTTGAAAAATCTAAATTTAAAATTTACTGTGGATTAAACTTTTCAAATAGTTAAAATAGGTAACACATGCACATGGTAAAAATCATATACAGTGATCTAATGCTAAGAACTAAGTCTCCCTCTTACCCTTTGTGCCCCAATTTCCTTTCTCAGAGATAGTTTATCAGCAGTTTCTTGTGTATCCTTCCAAGAATTCTCTATGCATATATAAACCTATCTGTATACAGATATTTAGCTTTTTTCTTACATGAATGATAGCTCATTTAGTTCTGAGCCCTTTTCACTGGTATAACTTGAAGATCTTCGTATACTCACATATACAGAGCCATCCCATTCTTTTAAAAAGCTATATAAAATTCAAACATAAGGCTTTGTTGCAATTTAACCAATCTCCTACTGATTGACTTTTAGGTTATTTCCAATATTTTGCCATTATATTATAAACAATTCTGTTAAAAATGTCTCTGGAATTTTTTTGGCTCCTATGCAAATACATCTAAAAGATGAACTCTTAGAGAAATGCTATGGCAAAGAGTATTTGTTAAACGCATTTTTTGATTCTCACAGTATTCCCAGATTACTTGCTGGAGCAGTGATGTCAAACCTTTTAGAGACAGTGCCCAAATTACAACTCAAAACCCACTTATTTAATGCAAAGTGACAATGCTAGCAATTAAAACTAAATACCGCAAGGTCGTGAGTTCAGTTCCCGGTACCGGAGAAAAACCAAAACCAAAAAAAAAAAAAACAAAAAAACAAAAAAAAACTGAATACTGAGCTTTTGGCTTAGAAAAAACAACTCATACATTAACATCTTTTATCTTAAAAGAAAAACATGTGTTCCATAGGTTCACCACCTTTTGCACCAATTTATATCCCCACTAACACTGAATGACAGCGCTTCCTTTTACCCTCCCCATTTTGGTTAACTTTAAAGTTAACTCAACTGTTTCAGTAAGTGTTATTAAGAAAACCTCTGAGTAGGATACTAGAGAATAATCTACCTGTTATTTTAAACGGTAAGTTGCATTGCTCATTAGGAAAGGAAACCAAAGAGCTCTTAAAATCTTCAGGTACTCAAATTTACTTTCATGTAAAAGAATGAAAAATTCATCTTAAAAGCAGCCAAGTAGAAGGAAACTTTTATTATATATTTTTTTGAAACTGTTTTATTCTGAGGATAAAAAATGAATCAACATGTGGACTGCTATGCTTACAAGTGGGCCTCAAAGTAGAGAGCTTGTGGGGAGAGGTTTGAGTAGGTGACTCAGTGGTAGAATACTTGTTTAGGATGCATGAGGCCATGGGTACAACTGCAGGACTGGAAAGAAAAAAAGAAAGAAAAAAGATACACTAGGATTGCATCAGACCAAGATAATGACCTCCACTGCGAAGGATGGGGGCGGC